GAACAGGGAAGCACTTTATCGACTTATTACACAAGTATTCGTAATAATTCTAGTATATTAATATGCAATGTACACAAACAAATCAAGTGTTACATTCGGTGCATTTCAGTTTTGTTTTTCTTTTTTTCGTCAGCTAGGCTTTGACGCAGAGAACTTTTTTACATGACGGAAAATGAAATAATAACACAACCGGATTGGTCGTTCACAATTATCAACATTTTCGCAAGTGTACCAACAGTACTCTTTTTCAATACCTAGAAGTGAATAAACGACAATGTTGTTGAAAACGTTGCATAAGGATTGTGTGATTGAAAATGAATAATAGGTATAATTAAGCATACTGTGATCGTTCTGTCCGAATACATCTGCAACTTAAGAAGTGGCTATTGTTACACGAGCCAATTCTACCGTTAATTAGGGTTTAGCCTGTACAAGAGAAGTTCCTGAATTTATTGATTTTCTAATGAAGTAGTGTAGAACTAATTATTTTCATTATAAATAACGCGCCTATGGGCCTAATTACAACGTATAAATGTCAATACAGTTATGTTAAATATGTTAAATATGTTACATAACGAACGCGTGACTGATCGGATAAATTGACAATTATTACAATGATTATACAAAGATTTCAACATTCTACAAACGAAAGTACTAGCGATACCAAGCCTACTTTCACGTGCGCTTGGGATCCCATAATATAAGAATAAAGCAGAAGACAAATTAATTGGGAAGATGAACACATAATCTAATCTAATCATATATATTATTTATATAGCGCCTTTCTTTGCAGATACGAAGCGCTTCTGTCCCTGGTCATTGGATCCACATGCTAAGTGTTGCTGCTGTATTCAGCGCAGGAGCAAGCAACCCCACCAGGTACCCATGTATACTCCTGGGTGGAGAGAAGCAATGCAGATAAAGTGCCTAGCTCAAGGACATAAGCGAAATGCACAGCGAGGGATTGAAACCCCGACCTCGAGGTTGGGAAACCAAACCTTTTTACACTGCGCCAAACCGCTTCCACACATGCCAAGTTAGACTAATTTGCAGGCGTGAGACTTTTTTTCCTGATAACCCCCCTAGGGGTTCGCGCATCCCTCAACCCCACCCCCACCCCGGAAAATATTTACCCCAGATGCCTGGAAATGCATTCTTTTGGCTTTTAAGCGAGTTGATTGGCCGAGCGGTTAAGTCAGGGGCACCGTAACCTTCAGCTCTAATATCGGCGCTGGTTCGAACGGCTCACTCGCCAATGGTTCCGGTAGTTGAACAAGTCTTCTCGGATAAGGACTTTAAAATCATAGGCCCACTGTACGCATTCGGCTCGTGTGCACTTTAAAGAACCCAGTACATCCTTCGAGAAGAGTAGAGGGTTACCCCAGTGTACTGGTCATTAAGTCCCCTGTTGTTAAATGGATACACGTAGGACAGTGATTAAGTTCACTTATTGGCATATCCTTGGCGCTCGTGCCTGAAGAAATGAAATGAAAACCAATATCTTATTTTAGGTACTGCAATGATGAATATTTAGCGACAAAGCTCCAAATGTACATATATTTTTTATTATAGGCAATAAAACATTTATGCGTGAGACTTTTGTCCTTATAAGCATGACAGTGTGAGACAGACCCCTGCCAGATGCGTGAGTGAACATTACTATAATGCTCTATAGTATCATTGGCGCAATCGGATGTTCGACAAATGGCTTCACAATATTTATTCCAATACGGAACAAATACGGTACTACAAATCTTTTGATCTCAAATCAGTTTGTTTGACTTTTTGATATATTTTGTTTCGCTTTGCCTTTTTCTTGATTCGGACATTATGACTCAGCTCCCAGAATCAACTTCTGCAGCAGAATTCGTTTGCAAGTTCTGGTCAAGCAAATATATTTTGTGGTCAAGTATATTTTCTTCAACGGCTAATCTTGTAGTGCTTTCCTTTGATCGTTACTTAGCAGTGATGTGCCCACTAAATACAATTTATTCAAGGAAAAGGTGAGGATGAAAATATTGTTTTTGCTGATTCCCTGGTTATGTGGCTTTGAAATCGTCCTCTTCTGGTTAGCGGTACACACTGTGAAA